TTCATTTTTCCTACTGTATATAGGTTCTGATATGATAAACAGATCCAATGAAGTTATTATATTTATCATATAAGATTTCCAAATAGAAATATTTCACTTAATTTTTCCCCATTTTGGTACAATGATTTGGCACAAAATAATAGTTGATTCAGCTAAAATATACAAATTATTTACAATATGATTGACCTTTTTCTACATTGTTAAACAGTTAACTATCACAAGACTAATCGTTTATATGACATTTACTTTTTATTCAGCTAGTGTATTTCTAGAATGTTCGAATATAAATTACCTTTATAGCAAAAAAACTCAATTATTATTTAAAAGAGGAAATAGGTAATCTTTACTGATTTCTAGAAAATATATCTCAAGTCTATGAAGGAGTGAAATTATAAGACTAAAGGACTTAGAGAAAAATCAAACCGAATATAGTTTTTACTAGAGACCTCAGTAAATAGAAGATTATATTACTTTTCATAATTTGCCCCAATGAACACTAAGAAATGATACAAATGTCGTGGCTGTGAACAAACCAACAACCTTACCTTTGCTCTTGTTGGGTTTTCCAAACATGTTCAATTTTCTGGTTACTGGTTTTGAGAGAAGACTTAGTATACATTTCTAGTCTTTTTCTCTTGGCAAGAAGAGCTTTGTTAATGTCAGCTATATTAAAAATAAATATTCATTAAAATTTAATGTTGAGGAAAATTATTTTGTTCCCACATATTCAAATAAATATGAGTAAAGTTTGTTCAACAGTTTTGGAAAGAAATTTAAAATTAAATTTTAAAACAGGCATAATATCAAAAAGCAAGATTATTTGCTTACTTTTTTCTAAGAAAACTTTTAGTTATTGGTATTCCAATTCTGATTTGCCTAACTAGAGATAACTTTTTAATTTAGAGATGATTAAAAAGAGCTAATAAATGAAAAAAGGGTCTCAGGACAGACTTTAACTTCCTCATGAGAAAACACTAAAAAAGGCTAACTTTTTTTTAATTTATAAAATACTCTCCAACTGAAAAAACACATTTAGGTGAATTATTATTAGAACTCATTATATGAAACACACAGAACTATTTTTAAAAAGAATCCAAAAAGGATAAAAATAGTTAAATCAAAGAAAAAGAAAATTTGTTTTATAAAAAATTTAGTGATACTTTTAAATATTTTTTTAGTAAAAAACACAGACTAAGCATAGAAAACTCTTAATTTTCATAAAATTTTTAATACTTCAAATAATGCTTTGCTAAACACATGCATATGGATCTACCATCAATAGTTATTTTTCAGTAATCATGATGGAGCTGCACTATTATATAAATATTTGATATTTCCAATATCCATCTATAATAATAAATTTATAAGACAGATTACAAAACAAGCATTTTGCCACCACCAAATAGAGCAAAGCTTTCAAAAAAGACTTGATCATATGAATAATCCATATAGAGGAGCCAAATATTGACTCCTTCTTAAGAGTGCCATCCCCTTTGGGTACATTTCCTTCTTGGGAAAGAGTAGAGACCTTTCCCAGCCATTTTTGTTCTAAAATTCCACAATTTGTTAAATTCACGTATGTATAAAATAAAAGCACTATTCTTCCCATTGTTAGTACCATTCTCACTCTTCACATCAACAACTGGAAAGGGTTAAGGAAATTTATGAAGCTGAAACACATATACTTATGCAAAATCTTATATATGAGAACCAGGCACTAAATAGCAGTCTTGTAGTCCACTGATTAACATTTCCCATTTACAAGTTATGTGGTTTAAAACAATTTTCCTTAAATACAAATATCTCCTAAAACATACCTCCAAATCTTTCCAGCATATTCTGTACTTCACCCCTGTGAAGAAATTACATTAAAAAACTTTTAATTAGGGATCCATAAAATATCATGCTTGTTTTGGAAGAAATATCACACACCCAGTATTTTACATACAATACTTAGAGAACCAAAGTGGACTTTTCTTGAAGTACTTTATCTAACAGGCAAAAATTATTTTGAGCACATTACCCCACATCTTCAACTACTCCTGCAGAAGTCCTTTTCTTCCCATGCTTTTCAATTACTGGAGTGTTCCCTGCATTGACAATAAAAAATATTTTTGAAATTAAGTATGCTATTTTGGTAATTTTTAATGGAGTAATATCTTAATTTTGAGGTCTTTTAGGCTTTTTGCCATCGTAAGTTTTTTAAGCAGACATTTAAATGCAGTACTTTCTCTGCAGGTTAGATGGAATTAAATGAGGATCCAGGACCATTTATAGGAACAATTTTGCAAGTCTTCCTGTGTTAATGTCATAATAAGCCGTGTACTATTTATCAGACATTTTGGGAATAACGACTGCAAAGGCAAGAGAGGCCTATGTAAGCTTCTCTAACTCCACGTGATAAACATGAAAACGCTTTCCAAACAAAGTTTTATTATAGTTTAAAATGTACTGGGTTCAAAACAAAGAACTGCAGGACGCGATCACTGCCCACCAGCGTTAGACATACTGTACCTTCAGTAACTTCCTCCTCTGAACCACTCAGAATTTTCTTATCTTCTTTTTCAAAGTCATAGGCTCTTATAACCTGATCCTCCATCGATGTCTTCCCCGATTTCCCGCCACGTTTTCTTCCAGAGGGCACCATATTCAGATGTTTTCTGACTTTGAAAGGATAAATCTCTCAAGCCTTCTAATCCAAAGACACCATTTAAATAAACTGGCAACTTTCAAAAGTAGAGCTATCAGATAAAGATGATTTTAGTGGAATCCCATTTTAGGCGTCTCCTCATTTATTTTCTTGGACCAAAAGTTAACCAAGAAGATAACGACAGCGTCAGCCCTGATTCCAGGGGTGCTGGGATGGCGAGCTGGCATCTGAGGACCGGGAGATCTGAATTTCAGATCCTCCAGAGTCTGGCTAAATTTAGGCAAATCGAGTTTTTGGATTTCAGGCAGAAAGCGAAATCGTAGTTGTTGACAGGCCCCATCACGAGCACGCCAAAAATAAGTTCACAGCAACACAAATATACAACAACAACGTTCTGCGATCTGTGCCTCGGAAAATGCACGGCCACGTGAGGTTTCCACGGAACAGAACGGAGGACAAATGAGGAGGCGCCCTCAGTCAAGGTGAATCGTCTCTGCCGGGTTTGGGGCGGGCAGGAGGGAGGGCGCCGACCCCCCGCCCCCGCTGTAACCCTGCCGAGGGCGTCGTGACAGGGTGACGGGACCCAGCTCAGCCCGCTGCTCTCCCCCGCCGCCCGCCCGCTCAGGGCCCTGCCCTCAGTGAGCTTCCCCGCCTGCATTTTCCTGTCAGAAGCCCAGGTAGGGCCAACTGGGAGGACTTACCTCACCCTTCGAGAGGCGCCCCTGCCCGGACTCCCGTGCTGGACAAACTCCTCCCCTCCTCACGCCTGGAAAAAAACCCCAGTGGCCAACGACCACAGCGACAGGTCTCTGGACAGGTGTCCGCGCCCCTCCAGCCTCCCACACCCCAACTCCTCACTTGAGCACCCCGCTTCGCAGCTGCGACGCTACTCTGCGACAACTTAGAATTCGCAGAGAGAAAAGCCAATCTCGCCTCGCCCGGGAGCGTCGCTGATTGGCTGGTTGCAGTGCGCATGCGTGCAGCAGCTGCGGAGCTCCGCCCCCGTGGGCCAATGACCGTGAGACTGCTGGCCCAGAGTGCCTTGCGTGCGGGCCACAGTCTGTGGCGAGTTCGGTAGAGACTCGTTGCTTTCCAGTTTCTTTATTTCATGTAAGTTTTAAATTTTTATAATATTTGAAAGTGGCACGAGAATACGTAAGTTATGAAACATGATGAACACGACCTCATTTGTGAAGTAGAATTTTACCAAAACCCATGGAATCTCCTCAGGAAGTCCTTTGCATCCCATTCCCCATTCAGAGATATTTTTAAAAATTATCCTGAATTTTGTGTAAATCGTTTACCCTGCCCATTTTCTGTGTTTTACTACCACGTACATGCATCTTTAAACAGCACTGAGTAGTTTTGTTTGTGTTTGGGCAGTACCAAAAATCGTACCATAATCTATGTAGTATTTTGCCACTTACTTTTTTAGTTAACGTTATCTAACAACATCGCTAAGAGAACTTTTACTACTACATGTAGCCATGTAGTAGTAAATGTACATGTACATTTTCTACATGTACAACTACATGTAGAACTACATGTAGTTCTTTCATTTTCACTACTGTATAATATTCCATTGTGACTCTATTCTACAATTTGTTTATTGGTTTTCTTGTACATGGACATGTGGGTTATTTTCAGATTACAGCCTATGTAAACAATCTAGTATGAATATTCTAATCTTGTACGTACATACTGAAGTTTTTACAGAGCATCTAGGTGTGAAATTGCTAGGTCATAGGCTAGATGATAGTCAGTAATGCCAAATTGGTTTCCAATTTATACTCCCACCGACAGAGTTAGTTCCCATCGTTCAATATACTCCTCATCACTTGATATAGTCAGATTTCTTAATTTTGCCATTTTGGTGGGTGTAAAATATTTCTTTAGGGTCTTTTATATTTCTCCAATCACTGGTAAGATTAAGCTCTTGTTACGCTTATTGGCCATTTGCATTTCCTTTTCCTTAAAATGTCTATTTGAGTATTTTGCTCATTTTTCAACTGGGTAGTGTGTGTTTCTTATGGATTTATAGGTCTTTGTGTATGCTGGATGTTAATCTTTATGACTGTTTTTCTCTATCTTTTCAGAAAAATGTGTCTTTATCCTGAAGTCATAAAAACATAAAGATTTTAAGTTTTTATTTTCTATTTTTAAGTCTTTGTTCATCTAGAATTGATTTTTGTGCCGGTGTCAGGTAGGATCCAATTACTTTTTTTTCCCCCAAGTGGAAAATGGTTTATTGAATAGTGCGTGCTTTCGCTATACCAGCCATGTCATATTCATGTTTTTGAGTTTGCTTCTCTAGCCTGTTGCCTGTCCCTGTGCCAAAACCACAGTTTTCATCATTCCAGCTTTATTAAGCTTTCATATCTAAAGCGGAAGTCTCACACATTATTTTTTCTTCAGAAGTATCTTGTGTATTCTTGAACTTTTGCCTTTCAAATAAATTTTGGAATTAGTTTTCCAAGTTCCATGAAAAAAAAACCTACTGGATTTTTAATGGAATTGCACTGAATCTATAGATCAATTTGGAGAAAGCTGAGTCTTCCTATTCTTGAACATTGTATATTTTCCATTTATTTAGAACTTCTTTAATACCATTCGATAAAGTTAATTTTTTTTCTTTGTGCAGGGTTTGCACTTTAGTAGAGTTATTTATAAATAACATATTTTATTGCTATTTTGTTATAATTCTTGCTGGTATATAAAAATCCAGTTGACTTCTGATATTGATCTTATATCCAGCAACTTGTAAATTATTACTTCTAATAATTTGTCTGTCGAGTCTGAGGTTTTACAATCATATTGTCTTGAATAATGATATTTTTGTTTCTTTCTAATTCTTAGGCTCTTTTTCCTTGTCTGAATGCACGGGCTAGGATCTTTAGAACAAAGATGAATAGAAGCATCAATATTGGACTTTCTTCCCTATTTTAAAGGTCATGCTTCTAAAGTTTCTATTAACGATGATGCTGTATGTAGGTTTTTGATGCTGTATGTAGGTTTTTAGAAGTTGCCCTTTTGGAAAGTTTAGCTTCTATTCTTAGTTTGCTAAGAGTTTTTTGTTTGCTTGCTTGTTTTGTTATTTTAAATCATGAATGTGTGTTGCATATTATTAAATTCTTTTTCTGTATCTGTTGAAATGCTCTTTTCTCTTTAATTTGTTAAGGTAGTGAATAAGATTTATAATATATAAATCTTTTTCCAAATGGATATCCAGTTATCCCAACATAATTTACTAAAAAGTCAATCTTGACTCCCATTGATTTGAAATACCACCTATATTATACACTATATTTCCATATGGAATTGGGTCAACTTCTGGATTTTCTGTTACGCTCCACTGGTCTATCTGTTTATGTACCAGTATCACGCTGAATTATAGAAGCTTATTTTATTATTGTTAAAGTATATTTTAATATCTGGTAGGCTAATTCCCCCTCATAGCTATTCTTTTTCAGGGTTTTCTTAACTTTTTTTTTTTGCTGAGGAAAATTTGCTCTGAGCTAACAGCTGTTGCCAGTCTTCCTCTTTTCTTTTTTTGCTTGAGGAAAACTGTCCCTGAGCTAACATCTGTGCTAATCTTCCTCTATTTTGTATGTGGGTCGCTGCCACAGCATGGCTGACAAGTGGGATAGGTCCACGCCTGGGATCTGAACCCAGGAACCCAGGCTGCTGAAGTGGAGCATGGGGAACTTTAGCCACTAGGCCATGAGGCCAGCCCCTTAACTATTTTTTTAAATATGAATTTTAGCATCATCTTGTCTCTCTCCAAGAAAAGAAAAAAAAGTTGTTGATATTTTTATTAGGATTACATTAAATTTATAAGTTAACTTAGGGGAAAGTGACATCTTAATGATGTTGAAATGTCCTAACAAGGAACAAGAAGTATCTTTCCCTTAGTCCAAGTATACTTTTGTATTGTGAAGAAACATTTTTAGTCTTTTAAATATAGGTTTTGAATGTTTCTTATTAAGTTTATTCCTAAATATTTTATCTTTTTTATTGCTAGTATAAATCTAGTTTCTTTCCTCTTCCATTATATCTTCTAACTGGTTATCTTTTGTGTATTTGAAGGCTTTTGGTTTTTGCTTGTTACTTTTACATCCTGCCACCTTGCAAAATTCTTTTAATGTTTGAGTTAGTTTATTCACTATGTCCCTAGAGTTCTCCAGGTGAATTTTCATGTCATCTGTAAATAGAGATAATTTTACTTCTTTCTGATTCCTATGTCTTTAATTATTTTCACTTGCTAAATTTCATTGGCCCAAACCTCCAGTACAGTGTTAAGCAGTGGTGGAGGTGGTGGGCATTTTTACTTTGTTCTTTAACTTAGTAGGAATGCCTCAGGTATTTCCCCATTATTAAGATGATGACTTTACAATTGAATTTTTATTAAAAATGAGTGTTAGATTTTTTTAAAGGTTTTTTCAGCATCTATGGAGATAATCATACAATTTTTTTCCTCATACCTATTAATATGGTAAATTATATTAAAATGTTTGCTAATATTAATCCATCTTTGCATTCCTGGAATAAGTCCTACTTGGCCATGTGTATTATTTATTATTAGAGTATTGGAATCTGTTCAGGATTTCTGCATTAACATTTATAAGGGATATTAGCCTGTAATTGTCTTTTTGTTGCTGCCATTATCAAGTTTAGATAATAATATTATGCTTGCTTCATAAAAAGAATTTGGACATTTTCCTTCATTTTCTATGTTTTTAACTTATGTAGTGTTGGGATTCTTTGGCTAAATGTTTGGTGGAATTCCTTTGTGAAACCATCTGAGCCTAGTGATGTCATGTAGAGTAGTTCCTTGATAGTTTTCTTGATTTCTCCTGTAGAAATTGGTTTTGTTTGTTTGTTTGTTTGTTTTTTGGTGAGGAAGATTGGCCCTGAGCTAACGTCTGTTGCCAATCCTCCTCCTTTTGCTTGAGGAAGACTGCCGCTGAGCTAACATCTGTGCCAATCTTCCTCCATTTTGTATGTGGGA